TAATATGGTCCCTAAAGGAGCATGCTAAGGATAGGAAGGAAAGGCAGCTTTACACCAACAAGCCTACTGCCCATCCAACTGCCAACAGCGCTCCCTTGTAGGCAGTTGTTCATGGAGACAGTTCAAGAGCTGAAAGCCTGCAGGACAGCACCCCTGTTCTGCTCTACCCACAGTGAGTCCATTAGCAAATCCTAATGGAGGGCTCCAGGCGGCTGTTTTGAAAGTGCAGAGAAGAATTTGTACTTATTTATTGATCTGTGCTATAACATAGAAGAACCTTTACCCTCCCCTTAAACTGTTGAAATGCGGGCTCTTTGCTCATCATGCCTCAGTGTCCACAGAAGCGTCGTTCCAGGACCCCCAACACACACCCAAAAGCCACAACTCCCCGATTCCACATGGCGTATGGTATTTGTACAGAACCTTCCCCCCAAGGGCCTCCAGATACTTTAAACCATCTGTAGATCACTAACACCTCATCCAAAGTAAATGTTAAGTAAAAAGTTGAGATACTGTATTGTGTAGGGAATGATGAAAAGAAAGAATGTCTGCACGTGTTCAGAAGAGACAAAATTGTCTTCCTGAATATTCTAGATGCAGGGTGGGTTGACTCTGCTGATGAGGAGACCCCGAGGACAGAGAGCCCATGGTAATTCTGCTGCTCCTGGCACGCTCCTCTGATCCTACAGTTTCTGAACCTCCTTGGAACACCCAGAACTACACTCTTGACCTGAATCCCACAACGCACATCCTGCTTCTGAGAGCCCCCAGGGTCCGGGGTAGTGATTGACATTTTACATCCTACAATGGTTCACGGGCAAAATCCAACACGATGGATCTTCCTCATTCCCTTTTATAATTTTTCAGAAGACATTCTTCATCTCTGTATCTCTCCTCTTACTGGCCACTCACGTGTTCTCTCTCTTGTTTGCATTGTTAACTTGAAACACACACTCCCCTCTTTTAGACCCAAAGACCCAATGCTTTAAATCAAATGTCAAAGAAGCAATGCAAAGTCAACTCTTCATTTACTCCCACTCTCTAAATAACGTGTCTGAGTTCCAAATATAGCTTATCTTTTTCACAGACTCCTTCTCAACTGGCTCTTCTCATATAAAGTGATAGCCACACCTCAAAAACACAGCACCAAGGCCCTCCCTATACCGACTTGCAGACAATAAAACTGCCAGGTGGTACCAAAGAGATAAACAAATAAAAATCAGAAAAAAAAAAAAAGACACCCATCATTACATGGAGTGTTGTTAAGAAATAGCTGTTTTATTTAACAGCTATTCATTTTTATTGAATAAACATTTCCTAGTATGCATTCTGTTAATTGACCTGACAGCATATGCTGTATATGGAGAAACTTCTAAACATTATGCTCTATGTAATATGCTTATCTGAAAAAGCTCTCACTTGCAGCAATATGGAAATAAAATTCTGCTTTCTAAAATTCAAGACTTTTAAAATGCATTAATCCACACGGTTTATGAAATTGCTCTGGACATTTTAAAACCCTTTCTTAAAGGAACAAAAAAAAAAAAACTTTGGTAATGGGTAATAGTATTTGTTGCGGAGCCTCCTAATGGAGCAAGGCATTTCCAATACAGAACTTCCACAGACACAGAGATGGGCGTAATAGGAAGTCAAAGGCGGACGTGGCCGTGGAGAAAGCACCGCTCGATGGCTAGAGGAGGATGTTCTGAAACTCTATCAAATTATGTGATTGGAAAACTACTCTTGTAATAGTTTCGTGGCCCAGATAGAAATAGAGTGGAAACAGCACAGAGTCCTGGGTTCGGTGTTGGAGGAGGGCAGTCCGCTCCGACTGGGGCGGCAGCTGCGTGGCTGATGGCTACCGAGGGAGGGCTGCATCTCCCCCAGCAGAACCCGCAGCTCCACTCCCCGGGGGGGGGGGGGGGGGGGGGGCCGCACACAGTGGAGCTCTCCGAGAACCAGCCTGCATGGTGGGGCCGGGACTCGGGGCCTCAGCCGCCATCCATCTCCCAATAATCGCTGCCCTTGTGGGACAGTGGCCCAAGGTTGCCAGATACTCTATTTTTCAAGAGGAAAAGGAAAAGCCTGGGATTCCTCCCATTTCTCTATGTTGTCAACTAGCTGGCTGGATTTTTTTTTTTTTTTAAACAAATTCGGTTTGGAGCCCCGTTGAGAATCCACTCCTCCATAGTGAATCTCTGTCAGAGCTATCCTCTCTGCAAAGGGAATTTGCTCTCATTGGAAATCACCTTTGGTGACAGTAAGCAAACACGGCCAGGTTGGCATTTATTTATTTTCAGCGCTCCCTATCGTCAATAACATGGGTGGGACTGGAAAATCCCCAGACACCGAGTGCTAACGTGGGCCTAATTAACTCATTTCTACAGCAGGCCCTTTCAGCCAGAGCTGTGTGTCCCGTGGACGCCTGGCGCATTGCACAGTTCTAATTCTCTTCCACTGTCCTGCATTAATCAAAGCCGTAACCCCTGTTGTCTCTGTACGTCGGCATCAGAATGTGCCCCCGGCGGGGAGCGGGGAAAGTCAACAGGAATTAAGTTTCAGTGCAACTGTTTACCCAACTGTGGCCCGCAGTTATTGAAATTTTATCCGTGGTTTTGTGTGACTACCGCAGTAATGAATTCAGCATGGCTGTGATGTTCTCACTGCTGCTGTCCTCACTTCAAGTCAAAACCTGCGGCCCCAATGCTGCGGACACCACCGACATCCCTGCGCCTGTCACAATCCTTGGCACTCTGACTGACGGCTGCAGTCCTGGGAAGCGCTCTCCCCCACCCCCGGGGGCTCTCCTCCTGTGGGCCTCAGACTCCCTTTCCACCAACAACCTGTGAAGAGCCTTCCCACAAACCCTGGCGAGCCAGGAGGCCATCAGGGTTTTTGCTCTGCAAGGCCTGCTGGCCACGAGAGGTAGGGTTCCAGCCACCATGACAGCCCCAACTGCTTTCTTCTTCCCCGAACACACTAATTAATGGCAAACAGAAATATAACTGCCACGGAATATTTTAAAAGAGGTACAAAGTCCAATCGAGATGAATTTCTTGAACTCCCTATCAAAACCCCTAACCAATTTTCAAAAGTGGCCCCCGCCGTGGCAGAGGGAAGGCGGGCGAATCCAGCCTTGCCACGGATCATTTTCTAAAAAGCTGCGGCTGGACTGCCCGGCTCAGACTGTTTTCTGTGTGTGAGTGTGTTTTGATGGTACGCTGTAGGTGTCAAGCTTTTGGCAGGCTGACGACTGTCACACCCTGCATAAAAACCCCAAAGAAGTTAATCTCCCAGTTATTTAATTAATGTAACGGTGTATACTCATCATTGGATCAACAGCCCTTCCTCAACAGCTCCATAATAAAACAGTCATATTATAATGTACCAGTAAAAACAAAGAGTCCATTTTGAGCCCAATCTTATTAAGGACTTAGGAAAAAAAAACTCTAAAAGCACCATCTACTTATCGTCCATATGGCCATAACTAGCTGAGAACATCATATAAACGTGCACGGGCACAAATACCCTTCTAGTACTGCTGGATGTTGCTGACCACCTCATAGGCTACAATTCGCCCACCTTGCATTCACTTAAACCTGCCAAATGAATACAGCACCAACACTGGAGAGTCCAGCTGACGTGAGGCCCGAGGCTCAGGCGCAAAGCCTGGGGGCGGCTGGTCAAGAGGGGGAGCCCCTCACAGGAAGCCTGTGGACTGACACAGGATTCACCTCAAGTTCCCTGTCTTTGTTGTCTTTTCCCAACGGGTTGCACCGTCTCCCACTAGTCCCTCCACCTTGGAATGGGCTCACCATCAACTGGCTCCTTATATTTTAAAATAACTCTTAGCCAGGGGAAGATGGAACCCACCCCGGAGGCTACCAAAGCTTATCCTAAGAGCTGCCCTTTGCCCCTCTGATACAGGTTCCAAGACAACGGTTAAAGAAAAGGTCTGCCCGTCTCTTCCACCGCTCTCCAACAATCTCTTTCCCTTCCAGGGAGGCCCCAAGACATGTCACTGTCTCCCCATCCCCCGCAGCTGATCGCCAGTGGCACCGGAACCAAGAAGCAAACCAGCCAAGGGAGGGCTGTCTCTAATTATTAGCAGAAGGAACAGGACTTCCCGACTGAGTCCAGCAGAAGTTGGGAAGCCACGGCCAGTCCTCAAGGAAGCGCAATCGCTGTTGGAATTGACGTCAGCCCTTTGCCAAGGTGACCCAGGTCTTGGTCACATTTCAGCTGTGACTCTCAAGTATTGCTTCATGCCTGCAGAGACCCAGCAGGAAGGGCTGTGTCTGAGCTGTGGTGCATTTTTTTTTTTGGGGGGGGGGGACACCAAGAAGACATAAGATAAAACAGCAATAGGATCTAGCTGTATTCCTCCTGCCCTGTGTACACAAGGAAACTGTGTATACACCACCCCAGGGCCCTAAATTCCTAGGGGCAGCAGGAAGCCCTTCCCATGGTGACTCCTGTGTCATGGGCAGCTCTGCCCCTTGTTTAGCCAGGGCTTTGGTTTCCTATGTATTTCTAATGATTTATCCACGTTCTCTTTTTCCTTGTCTCCCTGAATCCTCTCTTTTATTTCTCACTCTGAGTTTGTCTCTTCCTTCATAAAGCTTAAGCCTAATTCTTAAAAAGTTATTGTGACTAAGTTTCTTTATCCTTTAACTAATGCACAGGGAACCCACTTCTCCAAAGGTCCTTCACTCAAAGCACCTACAGGTCAGGGTGATAGGTTGGAGGCTAAGAGAGAAGGGCCCAAGGTCCACTCAACCTGAAGTCCCCACAAGACTCCCCAGAAGGGGACTTCCAAGATGTCAACTCCCTGGGAGATGAAGATCAGCCACTGGAGCCTGCCACCAGGACCCCTGGAGCGCGGGGCTGGCAGGAGGCTGCTTACACACATGCATAGACAGGTGAGCACAACACATGGGGCGTGATGACGTGTGCAGAGGCCTGGGGACCACAGCATCGCCGCCCGCACCCGCCAGTACCTGCTGCTGCTGGACGTGGGCCAGGTCGGCTGCCCCAAGCTCGGTGGCCGGTGCCTCCCCGTTGGACCTTCCCTCCCGGAGCCCGCCGCACTCTAGCAGGTGGTTGCCGCCGCTGGACCCATTCTGGATGGCTGAGCCGTTACTTTTTGTCTCAGTCCCAGATTCTTGCATCATGACTCAAAAACCTGATAGAAGGATTTTGAAAAAGGGGGGGGGGGGGGGGGAAGAAAAAAAAAGAGAGAGAGAGAAGCAGCTGTTAAAACAGTTGTTGTACAAAGAAAAAGGCCCTGCTTTATGTTTGCCAAACTCTGTAAACAGTTGTCATTTTCTTTCACTCAATTTATCCCTCATTAGTGGACTGGTCCTCAGAGCTTAGGAGGTTGTGACTATCAGTCTTAACTCGAGTTTCAACACTGTCCCAAATAACTTTTTATACTGACGAAAAATAAGTATAATTCAGTTTTCAATTTCTGCTTATATCTAGATGTTTTCCTCAAAAACCTGGTCGTCCTAGAGTGTAATGAACTGTAACCCTCCCCCTCAACGTGGGCAGGGGCCGTGGTGTCCTGTCCTTCCCATCACGGACCAGGACACCCACCCAGGAGGCCCCATGAGTGGATCTGGGCTACGGAACCTCACAAACACCAAAGCATGTTAAGGATTCCCACTCCTTGCAGGCACTCGAGTACGAGCCACTTCCAAACTGGCCATTCCAGCAAGATGGGCCGGTTCTAGGGACAGGGGATTGTTTCTTCCTTTCAGATCTAAGGAGATGTGGAGAATCTGGATCTCGTAGGTTCCTTCATTCCTGATACTCTCCAGGCACAGACCAAGTTAGCTCTCGGCACCATAAAGGCAGGCAAGGTGACCACAGATAGATCATACCTGCCAGGCCCTACCCACTATAGTGATTGACGGAGGTTCTCGAATTTAGCCCTGTTGACCACCTCAGCCCCACTCTGCAGGTGAGGGCCCTGAGGCCTCAAGAGGCAATTGGTGCAACTGTGTTTCACAGCTCGGGACAGCGAGGTGGGGACCCTCACCAGCTCACTATGAGGCCGCAGCTCTTAGCAAGGCCTGTTTTCTTAAGGCCGAGGTGGGGTGGCAGGACAATGGAAATGGCAGGGTCACACTCCACCTCCAGAGGGCAGGACTTGGGAAGGAAAAGAACTATCACTGAGGGAAGTCCACTGGTCAGATATCAAAGCTGAGAAACGCCCGAATAACAAAGACTTCCATGTGAAATACCAACTCGAGATAAGAGGATGGCCAACTTTTATCACAGATTTCTGCAGTCACAGAAGGACATAGGTCCAGCCAGGGCTACGAATTTCTCCCCTCTATGTGAAATAAGTGACAACACGGAAATTAAAACTTGCTGGACATGGTTAGAGGAGGTTGTCCCTTTCTTAAAAACTGGTTTAAGTCTGTTTTCTACAGATTTGCATCAAATCCAAATGGAAGAATAAGAAGAAAATCACAAATTTATTTCCTTTCAGGGCAAAGTATGAGTCAACTTGAAGACAGACTTTACAAACCCCAAAGACACATTTTTTTTTAGGTTAATCCAATTCTGAAATGGATTAAGAATGGCATTTTTTCATTAACAGGTGGGAAACTCACTCAGAGACAACAGCTGATTCTCTCCTCCCTTGGGATAGCCTTCCCAGGACCAAGAGCCTCTTTAGAGAGTGCATTCCTGTCCCTGCTGCCCAGGGAGTCTCTCCAAACACCACCACCAGTGTAGGCCCTCCAGAGATAAGAGACAGGCAGGGGTACATCACAGCACAGTGGGGTCCTGCTCATCTCCAAAAGAGGAACCAACTTTGAAACTAGACACAATGTTTCAGTTTCTCTTCCACAAACCACCCATCTATCTGTAAAGAAGCTAGGGAAGGTGCCACCCTGCTGGGGGCACTTAGAAAAGTTGTGTAGAATCCTTGGCAAGGAAACCTATTGAAATGTTCCTAAATAAAACTGCTGTTTCCCCCCACCTTCTGGACAATCTACCCATACCAGGAATGGACCCCCCAAAGATACAATGTTGCCTGTCCATCAACTGTGTGCTTTCCTTGGGCTCCCGGATCTTCCGTCTGGGGGACAGAGATGCTGGAAGACCCTGCCTTCAAGCACTGACCACAGGGTGTTGGACATGACCCCTGCCAGCTTTTGTCTCCACCCTGTTGGTGGGGCCACAACAATCTCCAACACCAGTTTGATGGGAAGGTTCTGTTTTCGCTCCACACCATTCCAGAGACTGCCAAGTCCTCTGGTAAAGTCGAGCAGGCACACAGCCAAGCAGCTTGGCTTCTGATTCGGGCTTGTGAGAGCGCAGGCTTGGGGACCAAAATTGCAGAAAGGATTATTTTGGTCTAAGGATGTCCTTAATTAGTCAAGTGCCAGCAGCAGTATGTAGGTTGGAAGATTTAAAATTTCCCATAATCTCCCAAACCAATCAGGAGAAAACAGATTTTTGAAAAGCGAGGAGCCTTCATGTCTCAGAACATTTCTGAACGTCTGGGCCACCAATAGTTCTATCGAAGGTCCCATGACACTGATCAGGCATTCTATCTACAGCACATTTCACAGGCTGCAGAGCCCTCTGATGTCCTTCTCAACCTCCTGACAAGTCTACAGGAGGGAGTTAAAGCCAGCAAATGTCACCATCCCCATTTTACAGATAAGAAAACTAAAGCTCAACTGATTGAGGGAGACCTGTAGCCACACTATTCTCCATTTCAGACTTGAACTTGTCCCTTCAATAAATGATGGCAATGTTCCAGTTGGCAAAGTCCTTTTGCAAAGTGGTGAATGACTAAATCAGCAAAAAGAAAGCTAAGGAAATTCTAGAAAGGACATCAACCAGGGCAGCAGGTAGACAGAGAAAAGCATTCGAATACTAGGATTCAAAGTGCCAGCGCTGTTCACGGAATAGCCACATGGGTCTTTCTTCATGGAGGTTTACATGGAGACAGTCAGCTGGTCGAGTGTGGGGACAGGAGTCGCATCCCCTCCTCGACCTTGGGGTGCCGTGCCCTCTCTTCTTGCAGGACGCTTGTACCAGGCCCCAGTGGGCTGTACCTGCACTTCCCTCGGGGTTACCCCGTAACCAGGAAAGCGCCCGGGTGCATGACAAACCCACAGAACCACTGTACAGACACCCCAAGTGCCTGCCTCCAGGGCTCAGCCGCTTGAAGGGCAATGCCACGTCACACCCTCTAGCGAGTCCTTCCTCCAGGAACAAGCCAGCCTGCCTCTGCCCTGCCTGATGGCTCTCGGGACACACAGGCTGCCCTGCCTCACATGATCCACTCGGCCCAGCCCACAGGGGCTGACGCTGCAGGAACACAGGTCTCCCAAAGCCCAGGGAGCCAAAATGGCCCACTTCACATCTTGCTTGGAAACCGCACAGCTACCGCTTTCAAAAGGCCAATTTCTGTGCTGGAGGGACTTGTAGAAAAATAAGGACCGAGTGGAGCATGCTTATTTACCGACATTGGCAACAGAGCTGCTCTCTGGAAGTATTCTGGAAAATTCATGATGTCCAGGCCAAGGTATTTATAGTAAATTAAAGCAGAGCTTTATTATTATGATTATTTCCTTGGTTACAGTGTTGATGCTGAAAATTTAGGGAAAATAAAACCTTGTTATCATGCTTGTGAAAGATTTTAAGCTAACAAAAAAGTTCAGTCTTGATTCCAGGGCAGTTAATTAAGGTTGACCAAGTCAGGCAGAAGTAAATTAACTTGGCTGATCAATTATTTATATGAAGCAGAATAAATGCCCTGAAAGAACTTGGTCGGCTCGTGAAAGGATGTGTAAATTAAACTAAACATAGTTTTGTAAAATATGCTTCTACTTCTACAGGGAGGAGAACAGAGGAGCTGATGCTGACGTCACTTTTAGGAAAACATGAGTGACTCCATGGACCGCCTCCCCCCGACCCCAAAGGGAAAACCCTGCTTCCCCCGGGGTAAAGAAGGAAGGACAAGCGCCAGCCAGGGCGGAGAGACCAGGAGTCCACAGGAGGAAGGGAACGGGGCGCCTATGTGAATTTTCATTATTTGAGAAATATCAAAACTGTAGCTGCTCCTGGGCCGTCAGTTGACTCTGCGATCTGCCGGCTGGAGAGGCACTCGGGTGGGAGTCAGGTTGGCTTCAGTTCTAGGAGGAGGACTTTCAAATTACTCATGGGGCACCAGGACTCAAAATCCTACATCATCTTTTCAGGCAAAAAAAGAGAGACAAGCCTGCCCATATTAAGATATAAAGCATGTATTTACTTCTGGGTCTCGTCAAGTGAAAGACTGGATCCCTTGAAATGGGCTCAGGGTTTGCGTGGCCACTCCCGACAGACAAAGGACTTTGGAGGGCAAGTTCCCACTCGGCCGAGTGTCCGGAGGGCTGGCCTGGGATCCTAAGATAGCCCCAGAGCCCTGCTCAGAGGGTGTCACTCCCACTCCAATCAGAGAGGAAGCCCAGGGGAAGCATCCTGGAGGAGGACATGGCGTCAAAGCAGGCTGTACTCCGCTGCGGACACGCACGTGGTTGTCAATCACTCTTCTTCTCCCGGCCATGCTCCTGGAGCAGGCCCAGTGGGGACAGGTAGGCTTGGTGGAGGAGATGGCAGCAGAGCCCCTGTCCACGAGGAGGGCTGTCCCTAAATTCACGGAGACCCATGGGAGGAAGAGGCAGATGACAAAAGCAGCAAGTCACAGGGCCCCTGCGCTGTCACAGAGATCACCTCTACAGATGGTGGCGGTTCCCTTCACACACAGCGCTACCTGCTGCCCTACTGCTGCTGATCCATCCCACAGAAAGACCACCCCAGAGCCACACGCAGGAGGACAAACCCGGTGCTGCTGGTGTCGCGGAGACGACGTCTTCCAACACTCAAGTTTCATAATTATAACAGAAAGGCGTAAATTTTCTAATGCATGGCAGTTCAAAAAGTAATCAAGGGAATGAGCCGGAGGGCTATTTTAATGTATGCAAAGCTAGTGACCCTCGGTAAATGGGAGGTTAGCCACAATGAATGCAAAGTAATGCACACACCCCAAGTCCTGCTCTAGTGAGGGACGGCTAAAATTAACACCCAATTAATTTCCGAATTGACAAACAAATGAAACCCATAAATCTACTTTCTCATTAATTTTCTTGTGGTATAATTTAAAGCAGTAATATG